AATTGATAATGTACAGATCTATGAGTTCAGGTATCTCAGCTCTGCAATAGCTGTTAAGAATTATTTTATAAAGCACTTTGCAAATACAAGATGTTCCATCATTGAAAGCATCAAGGCACATCAAAGGTGATGTTTAGGGAAGAAAGAGCATGTATCTCTGGCTGGAGTAGACTACCGTTTGCTTGGAGCTGGCTTATTTCAAATAGCATATGACCAATGCAACTATCCTATCATTTATGCAAAGCAAAAACTATTAAGCTATCCTAATCTCTTCCACACCCAGCCATAGCTCAGGTCCCCAAATGCACCTCATATCTATATATTCTCTGTGTTGCTATATTCATGGAATAAGGCAGCTGGTGTAAGATCACACTGATACTTAAAAAATGAGGTCCAGAATTGGAGAGTTGCTGGGTCTAAGGAGAGGCAGTAAAGGAGGTACTGACCTACTTCATGCTTCATGATAACTTGAGGTGAGGACCACTTCTCCCTGGGGTTGCCTTGGATCAGATAATTGTTTCTTATGAAGGAGCATTTTCCAAATGCAGCTCTTTACTTACTTCCTTTCTACCTTCTTGATCATGCCATAAATCTGGAGACAACAGCCTGCTGTTTGGTTTCCATTCAAGAAGAATCCATGTTCTTTCAGATTTTATACTCTATGGCCCTCCAGTGTCCTGGGGACCAAAGTAATGTGTGATACATCCTGGTGCCTCATGTTGTAGTCTTTTTGATTTAATAATACAGTAGAGGAAGCATAAAGCAAATGAAGATGGCACATAAATTCTGAGCTGAGAGCACCTATTATTGGTTCTATCTACTTCCCTCTTTTCCCCCTTTGTATTTCTCCTCTAAGTACCCACCATACCTGCACACACAGAAACAGCAAATCTTTGCAAAGATTGGAAGAGATGATAGGAGCCATAGGCAAAAATGGAATGAAATTAAGGAAGATCTAGATGTTAAGTTGAAAACTCCAGGATAAACAAGGAAGATGGAAATAGAATACTTCCAGAAGAAGGAAATCTGAAATCTCATTCTGGAAAGAAGTCAGTTTGATGTGAGTCATTATAGTAATTAGAGGAATCCATTTTAAGCAGAAGAGGCTGGTGTCCCATTTTATTATGCACTAATTTTATTGAATATGTGGTTCTCCCATCTTTCTTTAAAGAGTATCACATGATTTTAGAAATGATACACACCTTTAAGTGTCCTTGTTCAGGTTAAATACTGCCACTTGGAGTTAATAGGTAAATTTTTCAACACTAGCCAGAAGTCATTGTAATGGGATATAGTGGTATTACCGTTAGTAATGCTATCCAGAAGAATCCTCCAGTGATTCCTGGAACTAAATAACTAGAATGTAGGGGAAACAGAAAGTATACTCATTTCATTTTTATAAATAATCTAAGCCCACTTCACTGAAATTCATTTATGTCTCCCCTAGATATGCCACATCTACACATTTATAAGAATTAGGTCATTGATTTTTTTCTTGATAATTCAGTTACCCAATTCAATGACAAACTATTGCAGCTTTCAAATTTGTTTCATAAAATAATTATATCTAATTTAATGCCCTTTGAATTTGCTACTAGCCCAAGCCCTGGGAAGAGCAAAATGTAAGCATAAATGTAATAATCTGTAATAAAGGAGAAAAAATATTTATCCTGACCAAAGTATATTAATATGGCTGTAATTTAATAAATTGGTGATGGAATAAGAATGATTATGGGCCTATTGTTATATTAAATTTGACTTTATAAGGTTTATAATTGTGGAATTAGTAAAGACCCTTCGATTAAGAAGAAAACTCCTTGGGGAAGAAAGAAGTGGTTATGGCTACTGCTAATATTTACTTTTTGCATTATCAAGTTTATAATGACTCCTTATGTGATACTCAACATATTTCTATACCTCTATTAAGTTCCTGAGGGAATCAGGGATAGCAGTAAGGGGAAAGAGCTATAGACTAGGCTAAATTTTAATGTAAAGAGGAATTGAGAGTGTAGTTACAAAATTTTTATGACTATATACTATCTCCTGGGAGGTCAAAAACTAATTCAAGAAACAACGTTAAGACATTATGTTCATATATAAAATGGTAACAAAATAAGTGCTATAGGACAGATGGACTTTTTTTTGAAGCAATCTCAAAGGAGGTTGCAATGTAAGAAATGACAGAAATTTGGACTTACGTGTAAACCTGATAAATTAGTAAGATTTATGGCCCTAAGGAAGTTAAAAAGGTAAACCGTGTAACAGGATAAAAACAGCAGAAGTTTGGGATTAAGCGTGGAGTGGTACGTTGGGAAGGAATTCTGGTATGTAGGGATGGCCAATTTCAGTGGTGTAAACACTCCCCCAATAGTGACAACCAGTTCATCATGGAGTGTGAGGAATGCAGAGCAGAAGGGTTGCTACCGTCAGTGGCTTTGAGGAAGGCCAGCACCCATGAGCCCTGACAGAACATTGTATGTGGGGAGAAACACTTCAAGTCTGTGTCTGGGAACACTGACAGATTACATTCACAATTCAGTCAAGCCACAGTCATCCTGGGGCACATCGGTAGTCATAACAAAGACTTGGCACTTCACTCCTGCTGAGTCACGGAAGGGGTCTGGCTGAGGGAGAACGGTGGTGACGAAGCTGTGTGTGTTGGGAAGGACCATCAGGGAGTAGAATGTAGGGTGGACGCTGAGATTCTACACATGGAACTCTAACCAACTTGAAGTGGATCTGAATGAAAAGAAAAAAAATGGGAACTAGAAATGTGGAGTGGGTGGTGGGAATAAAGATAAGCACACCTAGCATACAGGGAATAAGAAAACAAAGCTGCAGGAGCTCCAATGTTTATCCAGAGTGGAAGGGAACAAGGGTGGGGGCAAGGAAGAGAGCATATATTTAGGATATCCCAGGTGCAGTGTCAAGTGGGATCAGTTACTTGAGGAGAATCAAAACAGAAAAAAAAAAAAAAAAAAAAACAAGGCAAAAGGAACAGAGGTCTGGATTTTGAGTACAGTGTTCTTTTGACAAAATGGAAAATAATAAAGAGCAGTAAGGAAAAAGAGAGATGGGGGGAGAGAGATAATAGACTTCAGAAACATGCAGAGGAAATATGCATTTCCAGAGGAAACATAGACACTTGGAATAGAAAATATTCCCAGTAGGATTTTCTCCAGGGTGGAGGAATAATTTGAACTATGGGTTCATTTGGGATTTGAACTATGCCTGACCTCCATCAACTACTAGCTAGAACACCTTGGACAAGTCACACTCCTTAACTTCGGATTCCTCAGCTGCAAAAGGAGTCTGCAATCAAATACCTACTTGTGAAGACGAAACCTGAAACAGTTGAAGCGATCAGTATGTCCTAGCTACCAGCAGGAATTAGAGTAACAGGAGTCTAGCACTGGTAGTAATACACTATTGCACATGTAGTTAGCGCCTGGGAGATCTTAGGAGCCTTCAGCATTTTTTTATTTTTTTTTTAAAGATTTTATTTCTTTATTTGAGAGAGAGAGAGAATGAGAGATAGAAAGCACGAGAGGGAAAAGGGTCAGAGGGAGAAGCAGACTCCCCGCCGAGCAGGAAGCCTGATGTGGGACTCGATCCCGGGACTCCAGGATCATGACCTGAGCCGAAGGCAGTCGCCTAACCAACTGAGCCACCCAGGCGCCCAGGAGCCTTCAGCATTTAACCAAAACAATTTTAAAGAAGCAAAGTATCCATTAAGTATCATAGACTGGATCAGGAGTGCATGGGTGACAAAGCGTGGCTCTGTGAGGTCTCACGGCCGAGGCTGGAAAGTCGCGGGACTATGAGCACGGATTAGAAGTCAGACACGCATGTGAGTCTCAGCAGATCATACACTGCCTATCTCTGGGACCTGTTGAAAATACAAATTGTGTTTCTTTATCTGTTAAACAAGTGTCCATGGTTGTTATGAGTATTGATATGATCCGAGTAAAGCATTCAGCAAGTTTTCTGGCCTCACAGTAAGGCCTTAATAAAGGTTGGCTACACTTTTATTTTTGAAACCCTAAGGTGAGTTTTCCCTCAGGAAAGTCAGAATTTAAGAGTTACAGTCGGTTCTTTCCTAAAGTTATTGGAGCAGTAAAATAATGTTATGGAAAAGGCCTAAAATCACAGGGTGTGTCAGGAAAGTAATTCTAACCTCGCCCCAAATCATGCCGCTGAGCACTTGGATATGGCGTATTCTTTCACAATCACCTTATTTCAAAGGACTAAGAGTGCTGAAAGAGTCCTTAAAAGGTATCCTTTAATTATCAAGTCATATTTGTCATTTATTTATTTATTTATTTATTTATTTGACAGAGAGAGACAGCGAGAGAGGGAACACAAGCAGGGGGAGTGGGAGAGGGAGAAGCAGGCTTCCCGCGGAGCAGGGAGCCCAATGTGGG